TGTCTCAACTGAAAATATCTTGCTCTGACATATCTTAAAATATGTCAGTGTCATTGTTCTGTGTCAAGATGCACACCTGTAATGTCTTCTTCTAAGGCATTTTTGTAAAAGTTGCTTAAATATCTTAATTTAACTCAGGCCTAGTCCTGGCTTAAGCTAAGCCCCGTTTGTGAAACCGGGCCTTGTTGTGTTTAATAGTGATGTTTTAATGTACTGTGAAGTTAACTTAATGGGTTTCTTCTGCGAGGCGTATTTAGAGTTTCAGCGCGAGAGCGCCCTCTGGCCTTTGGATGGAGATTTACTGCTGATCACAGAACAGTGCTTCACTGAAAGATACGCATGACAATCGCATCTTCTGTCGAATCGATTCCATTTCGATTTATCGTGCAGCCCTAGTCATGTGTTTAATCTGATGGTTATATTAGAGCAGCTGTACATCGCTCTGTTTTTACATTCCTAGAAGCCAAAGCCGGCCCCGACCGTGTGACGCCCACTCCGATCGACCCAGAGGAGATCGAGGTGAGCGTGGCCTTCCAGCCGGACCTCACGGATCTGGTGCTGTCCAGCGTTCCCGGAGGAGAGCTCTTCAATCCACGGAAACATCGCTTCTCTGTGGACGAGCTCAAACCACAGCCCATGATCAAGAAAGCCAAGAAAGTGTTTGTTCTTGAAGAGGCGAAGGTGAGACTGAACCCTTTGAGAACTTACCGAAAATATTCAGTCATTCAGAATGAGTTTATGAACAGAAACATCAGAAAACAGTAATATGGTCGCAAACCTGTGGCTCTCGTGACACGTTTGGACAGCCGGGCCTGTCGCTCATCATCCAGGAAATGTATTTTAATGATAATGAATACAAATTTGATTCTTCGAAGTTAACATGCTGCTATTTAGCAATCATACTAGCAGTTCATACTATCATGCTGCTGATCACTGGATGAACTTTAGTTGTTTGTCAGCTTCTTCTAATTGATCCGTCGTCTTGAAGTCAACATGAAGTACTCTTTGCAGTCCATTTTACTTGTGCTATGTGACTTTTCCAGATAAACTGGACAAAAAAATGTAGAGCAGGACTTTGTATCCATTACAAACTGATTTGATATTGTAAAGTTGGTATTTGGTACCAATATGGATCATAATTGTTTTTATTTTTTAATTTGATTAATGAATTAGTTTTTTGAATAATGCACACCGATGAATTATTCACAATAAGACCTAAAACATGAATTGGGATAATATAGATCTATTTTTAATAATAATGACAAAAACGCAACATAAAAAAAATAAAAAGTCAAATTAAAATGAATAAAAATTAATTTAAAATATTAATAAAAATTATAATATGATATCAACGATGCTAAAATAACACTAATATGTGTATACATCTTATGCAATAAACCTCAACTACATTGATTCTATACTCAAAACAAACAACTTCAGCAATTAGCTATTTTTATATTTTGTTACATTGCTTGAAATACTTAATGGCATTGTAAATAATTCCTTTTATCATTGATTTGAAGCATAGAATTATTTGAAAGTCAGACCAAAAAACTAAGTTTGTAATGTTGTGATGCTCCTTGTAGCTGGTTGATATGGATTATGGCTTATTATAAAACGGAGAGTTCCGGTCCTTGATTCTGATTGGCTGAGCTTAGATTGTTCTAAGCTGTTGTAAATTACTCTACAAACACACACCTTTGTTTACGTTTGTCTGTTGCTCGGCATCCACTTTGTTGGAACCACAACTGTTTCTGAGGAACTACATTGTTAATGGAATAACCATTTTATAAAAGCAATAAGCCCTGTGAAGCCATGGTTTACAGTGAATTTATAAACCACCTTAGCTGTTATAACACGCCCCTTAGCTGTTATAAATTCACTGTAAACCACGGCATCTTGGGGCTTATTGCTTTATAATGCTTTAACAAAGACTTTTTAACATCATTATAGGAAAAAAGTAAATACTTCGGGAACCAAGGCTGCTGAAAATGCAGATGGACACGCTGTATTGCACATGAATTTAAATTTAAAATGTAATCGCTGAAGCTTCCTCGTAATACAGTTAGCGTATGTTTTTGTTAATGTTACGACATGAAACGTAAATTAAAGCTAAAGCTTGTTTTAGCGGCTTCATTAATGAGATGCTTGCGTTTCTCTGCAGGATGAGAAGTACTGGTCGTGGAGGAAGAAGAACAACATGGCGGCGAAGCGCTCGCGAGACGCCCGGCGTCTGAAAGAGAACCAGATCGCCGTCCGCTCCTCCTTCTTGGAGCGGGAAAACGCCGCGCTGAGACAGGAAGTGGCCGAGCTGCGCAAAGACTGCGGCCGCTGCAAGAAGATCATGCTGCTGTACGAGGCCAAATACGGCTTGCTGTGAGGGACACGCTTCAGTCTCCCTTATAATTCACACCGCAGTTACACAGCCGGGGATTGTGGGTAATGCGGCGCCGCGCGGGAGGTCGTGTTTTTAAGAGGATGTTTGAAGGGGCTAGAAGACACAAAACACATGATAACACAATCATAACCTTTGACCTCCTCATACCTCATATTCTGCCCTCTCATTCGGTATGAAGACGAGATAAAGTGGCCGAATGGAGAAGTCGCACAGCTAGCGTTCAATCTTAGAGCGTTCGGCCGCGGAAAACGTGACTTTTTTTTTTTCACAAGACTATTTTCAGCTAGTTTTAAGCCTGTTTTTTGCACTTGACACGTCATCTTATGTTTGTGTACGAGAGGTTTTTCGCAGAAAACAAGTGCATGACTCTCGATACGAAGCGATTATTTTCTTTATTCCACGAAAACGAGTGCGCTTGAAGAGCAAGTGCGAATCGGACGGTCTGTGAAGGCGGAGTCTGTAAATATACGCTTGTATCCGTCCGCTAGTGTCGTCGTTCTTCCAGAATGAGCTTACCATGTGAAAAGCGACACTTCTGTCATGCAGATTAACTCTATAGCGACTGTGCTTCGTTCAAACGCATCTTCACGGCAGTTAAGCGGGCGCTTATTGTAACGCGAGCGTCTGCGCTGGAGTTTAACTGTGAGTGACCGATCAACTGGATCTGGTTTGTTTTCAGGGTTTAATCCAGGGCAATAATGTGCGATGCATCTTGACCTCAGATTAGATGTTTCCGATGAGTGTTTTTTAAAAAATTTATTTAAAACTATTTTTTAGTCGGGCAGCTCAGCATCCGTTAAAACACAAGCGTAATGAATTTCTATGTAAAAAAAAACTTCTTTTTGTTTTATTCTTACCAATGACTGATTCATTTTTGCATTTTTAATGAATTATTATAATAATAATAATAATAATGCATTTTTAGATAAATTGTTGCATTGGTAAAACCATTGTTGCGTGAGCGTGATTTATTCCAGTCGATGACATTAACGTAAACACGAGAGTCTCACGTTTATCGCCGGTTTTCCTTACGTTTAGTGTATTTAAAAACGCAGAAGTAATAATCTGCTTCCAGTGTTTATGGATTTTGATAATTACACTCATCATGGTTTGTTTTCAGTGCTCAAACAAATTCATGAACACCACAAAGTGTGCTTACAATTTTAGTTTATATATGTATTTTTAACAGATCAATGTTTTTTACACTAACTATGGATAATATCAACAACAAAACCATCTCAAATCTATACATTTCACTGTTGTATTATATAATAGTTATAATATATACACACACACACACACACACACATATATACTGCATTATAAAAACTCATAAGTCATCAAGATTGTTTATTTTCAACGGGTTTGAAGTAAATCTATTGTACATTGACGAGTCATTAGTGCATGCTGTTGTCATGGTGATGCTGTGCAGTGGGCGTGTCCTTCTCTTCCATATATGGAGATAAAAACTCTTTATCTGTCACGTTCGTTGATAGTTTTGTTGTTTTAAACTCTTTTTACTCCTGTTTGATTTCATTCTATAAACCAAACACACAAACCTTTCCTGTCAATCAGTGTTTAAAATGTACAAAACGAAGTTTGTGTTTGTTTTTATAGGCCAATTTTGTGATTGAAACTGAAGTGTGAATTTAGTTTTTGTTAT